CTGATTTTGCTTTCCTGACCTTCCTTCAAAATATATACATATGCATGTAAAACACTAAGAACTTATACATTAAAATACCTGAGACAAAAATTCCGTTAAAGTTATACTTACATTGTTATGTCATGTTATATAGATAGATAACTTCATGTTAATTATGTCATGTTAGTCTAACGTTAGACTTGTGTTATAATATTATTTTCGTCTGTTTGACTATTTTTATTTTACTATGTTATACTAGTCCAGCGTTAGATATGTTATGTTATGATAGTTTTATTTATATTGTTATATTATGGTATGTTAGTCTAACTTATATTATGTTTGTTATGTTATTCTAACATTAGACTTACATTATGTTACTTTAGTCTAATGTTAGATTATTTATATTACGTTATGTTAGTATAACTTAAGTTGTGTTATATAATGTTAATCTAACTTTAGATTTGTTATGTTAGTATAATTTGGTCTTGTTATATTATGTTATGTTATGTTAGTCTAACATTATACGTATTTGTTATGTTATGTTAATCTAACGTTAAACTTCTGTTACTCTAATTTTAGATTTGCTTTATTATGTTAGTCTAATTTTAGACTTATTATACTCTATTATGTTAATCTAACGTTAGACTTGTTATATTATGTTATTTTTCTATTGCTAGTGCGGTGGGACTAAGTCCCTTGTACTGCGGCCACTTCTGGCCTATTGTACCAGCCCCAGATGATAGGTGAGGGTGATTGTGGAGCAATTGGTGGAATGAAGATTGGCAGGGGAAACCAAAGTACTTGGGGGAAACCTGCCCCAGCGCCACTTTGTCCACCACAAATCCCACTTGATCAGACCAGGGATCGAACCCGGGCAGCCGCGGTGGGAAGCCAGCGACTAACCGCTTGAGCCATGGCGCGGCCCTATTGTGTTATGTAAGTTTAACGTTAGATTTGTTTTGTCATGTTACTTTATGTTAGTCTAACCTCAAGGGGGCTGATACCCCAGTTATTCTAAAATTTAAGGTTCCAAGATTTTACACATATGAATTACAAAGGTACATCCCCCAACGATGGTCCTGCAAGACCGGAACTTGTCAAGTGTCCTTGAGCAATGCACGGGATGTACATGCCGTTTCATTTCACAGAGACAGCGATTGGGAAACTTCCTTCCCTACGATTCCCTTGCTACTCCAATCAATATAATGAAGATTAACATGATAGCTTTTCGATATACTGCACTTGCTAATTACACGCCCGGACAACGCCGTGTACATCAGACAGCTGCTGATCCGTTTCGGCAAAACGTGCTGTAACCTCTCCCGATAAGAACATCTGACGGCCGCGGGGCGCGATCAATGCCTGGCGCGGACCTGACCTACATCCCAAGTATTGGGTGCCGAGTTTAGTCTCTTCATATCCCATCTGGCGACGCTATTTCGACAGAAGTATATACCTGTCATCTCGGGAGATGACACTCCCCCCACAGATCTTGACATACTCAAAATGAAAACGGGCGCTGTAAAATGATAGAGGTTACTGAGAAACAGAAGTCAATAGAACGGAAAGGATTCAAGGTGATTATCTATCTATCTAGCTGTCTCTCTGTCTATCTGTCTGTCTATCTATCTGTCTGTCTGTTTATCTGTCTATCTATCTGTCTGTCTGTCTGTTTATCTGTCTATCTATCTGTCTGTCTGTCTATCTACCTAGCTGTCTGTCTGTCTATCTATTTCTCTATCTATCTGTCTGTCTATCTGTCTATCTAGCTGTCTGTCTATCTATCTATCTATCTATCCATCCATCTATCTATCTCTATATCTATCTGTCTATCTATCTATCTATCTGTCTGTCTATCTATCTATTTATCTGTCAGTCTGTGTGTCTATTTATCTATCTATCTACCTACATACCTATCCATCCATCTGCCTGTCTGTCCGTGGCTCTACAGCCCTTGTGGGCCTTGGTTCATTTTTCAGTTTTCTAATCTATTCACAGTCGGTAGGACACTTTGGATGGGGGATCAGCCCGTCGCAAGGCCGCTACCTACAAACTGAACAGAGCCAACGCAGGATAAACACAGACAGATATCTATGCCTTCGGTGGGATTCGACGCGCCTTCGACGGCGCGGCTATTGTGATCCGATAGACAGCCTAAGGTAACAATATAACATAGCCCTAGAAGAAAAAGAAACACTGGGAGATCCGAAATACGATGGCCAGAAATGATGCGGGACTCGAAACAGAAGCTACCGAGCTAATACCTAACTATGTATAATAAGAATCCAACTCCATTCCATTATGTAATAAATGTAATTATTTTATACTTATAGTTATATTTTATTTTAAAAACTAAATAAAGACATGGGAGGTCGGAACAGATGATGGTATAAACCATGCACTTGAGAAGAAGAAATATTCTTATAAATCTCATGGCGAAAGGTGGAAACATTTCTTTCGCCTCCAGCTGAATTCTCCACTATCCAGTCCCACAGCCACACCAACCAATATTTATTATCAAAGTCATCATTCCTGGTTTGTCACGTGTATATCAATTACCACAGCTTACTAGAGTTGTCAGGAGTCCATAGGGACGTCATGAGAAGCGAACTTCACCGTAGGTTCATGTGATACAGGGAGTATCGATTTATAACAAGGATGCTGAGTCCGCAAAGCGTGTGAAACAAATACCGGCAGGAGGCAGGTCATCTTGCGGATGTAGTGGGTTTCCCCGTGTGGCTACCGCTGTAATATAATTTCAACGCAGCGACAGGAATTAGTAAGTCAAGAAGTGATATGACAGCAACTGTGGAACTCCAGGGACACAGACATGAACGCCGTTGCGGTTTAATTAACTACAGTTATTGAGTTGCACCGCCTACACGTGAGAATCCTTTATTGACGTTCACCTTATGGTTACAGGAAGTCTCAAACAGTGCAAAATGTTTCTTTTTCTGTATACTGCTTACGTGATAAGCCAAATAACGGAGTTCCTTCCTGCAATCCATCACTTAATGTGCAAAATCATTCACAATTATGCCGAGCACATTGATTGAAGGTGTGGCGTTTCAGGCTTATATTCGGAACGTGCCCGGTTCGAACCTCGAGAAGAATATCAACAATCCTGAAGGAAGATTTCCGTAAATATCTTCAGTGTTTCCAGACAAAAGCCGGAGTAAAACCTCACATTAGGACACGAACGAACCTTATACTGTAAAACGTAAAACTGTCCCTGTGCTTAAGTAATTAAGCACTGAGCCAAGAAGGCGTATTGAAGAGTGGATATATAGATTCATATTTTCTTGACCTTGGCACTAGTTGGTGGTGAGTGGTCAGTTTCACGCCCCGGCCGCTTTACCTCCGGGGAAACAGCCCCCGGTACCCATTCGATGGGAGGTTGGGTGAACCCCAGAGCCGATCTGGACGACGCGAAGAACAGAAAGTCCTTGAATTTACGGGGACTCGAATTCTGACCCCTCGGTAGTCCAGCCCCTAGCCAGTTGCTACACCGACTGCGCTATCCCTGCTCCATTTCTATATGTTAATGTTGTAAATTTAGTGTGATTCAGTTAGAAGGGAAATATTGTACAATATTCTAATAGAGTTTGTGGCACCCATGAATCTAGATAGGCTGATTGAAATGAATTTAAAAGAAACGTATAGTAAAGTCCGTGTAGGTAAACATTTGTCTGATAAATTTCCCATGCATAACTATCTAAAATAAGGGGTTGCTTTATCGCCACTGCTTTTCAAATTTGATTTAGAATATGCAATTAGGAAGGTCCAGGGAAACCAGGTGGAACTGAAATTAAACGGGACACATCAGCTGTTGTTCTACGCCGATGATGTGAATCTACCGGGTGATAATGCTGATACCATAAGAAAAACACACAAACTTTAATTGACGCAAGTAAAGAGGTTGGTCTAGAAGTAAACACAGAGAAAACTAAGTATATGTTGCTGTGTCGTCACCAAAATGCAGGGCAAAATCATGATATGAAGATAGGTAACAGGTGTTTTGAAAATGTGGCACAGTACGGATATTTGGGAACAACGATAACAGATCGAAACCTGATTCAGGAGGAAATTAAGAGGCGATTGAACTCGGGTAATGCTTGCTACCATTCAGTCAAGAACCTTCTGCCTTCTCGTCTGTTGTCCAAAAACATAAAAATTAGAATACACAAAACTACAGTTTTGCCTGTGGTTCTGTATGGGTGTGAAACTTGGTCTCTGACATTAAGGGAGGAACATAGACTGAGGGTGTTTGAGAACAGGGTATTGAGAATATTTGGACCGAAGATTGATGAAGTGACAGGAGGTTGGAGGAAACTGCATAATGAGGAGCTTCATAACTTGTACTCCTATCCAAGTATAATTAGAATGATCAAGTCAAGGAGGATGAGGTGGGCAGGTGATGTAGCACGAATGGGGGAGACGAGGAATGCGTATAGGATATTGGTGGGGAAGCCAGAAGGAAAGAGTCCACTGGGAAGACCAAGGCGTAGGTGGGTGGACAATATTAAAATGGATCTTAGAGAGATAGGATGGGATGGTATGGATTGGATAGATCTAGCTCAGGATAGAGACCAGTGGATGGCTCTTGTGAACACGGTAATGAACTTTCGGGTTCCATAAAATGCTGGGAAATTCTTGAGTAGCTGCAGAATTGGCGACTCCTCAAGAAGGGCTCAGCTCCATGAGTGAGTGAGTGAGTGAGTGAGTGAGTGAGTGGTCACAACAAGAAAGGAGAAGAGTGTTCTGTCCAAAGCTAACCTTCGTTTCGGAGGAAACTCTACTCTCAGCTTCACGCTCTTTTCTTATTTTCCTTATTCTTCAACTCTGCAGATTGAGGCTAGAAGTTCTAACGAAACGTCCGTTGACTTTCAGCGGCCTAAACGACGTTGTATCTCAGAATACAGCGACTCTTCCTAACCTTTGCTGTGAGAGCATTCAGGAAGAGGATGGAGGGATGTTCAAGCAGAAGCAGAGGACTGAAACAGCAGCTGAGGCCGACTTACCCGTCCTGAAGTTGACGACGATGTCTATAAGGAAGATGGTGTCGGAGAGGCAGTTGAAGGCAATCCAGCGTGTACTCAGGTCATCGTTGAAGAATGAAATGGCGACAGGAAGGATGATGAGGTTAGCAACCAGCAGAAGCAACATGCACAGGTCCCAGTAGAACCTGCAATACAGAACAGACAATTGATACATTGATATTCTCTGAGCTGCTCGTAGCAGATTCAGTAACGGTGCTCCTTTCGACAATGTTAGCTATAATGGAGCCCGGTGAAATTCACCTGACGTTTCGGAGGAACATATCGCCTCCACCTTTACAATCGAAGTAAAAGCAACGCAAGATATCAGCATTTGTCAGGAAGGGGCATTTTCTTGATAGTTACATTTCGACCCTGTATATACAGGCGATGTGTCCTTCCTAAACGTCGGTTGACTTTCATCGGATTAAAAAAAGATAAAGCTGCCCCTGTAACAGGACGTCATGTCCCATAGATTTGTGAGGCGTCGAGACTCCCACATCTTCTAGACAATCGGCTCATGGATGGCGGTGAGGTTGTCAGCCTAACGCGCCGGCCGCCGTTTATCCCCAGGAAGATTCCTGGTACTCATTTCTGTTAAAGGCTGAGTCGACCCCAGGGATATAGTGCAGCTGGAAGGATTAGACCAATCGAAAAATCCAGTGACCTCATCGGGAATCGAACCCGTGACATTACAGGCAATGGCGGGAAGGCATTTCAACGAGCAGTCTACCGTCTGCTCCCAAGTACTCTCTTATGCATTATTGCTGCATGGCCTTGACTTAACAGCACGTTACTCATCTACAAATCTACACGGCCTCACTCTCAGAACTGCCATAAGAACCTCAAGCCTCATTTGGTTTCTACTTTCGATTGAGACGTGGGGATACAATTTTATCTGCATTTATCTTCCGGGGCATGTCCATTCGTGATCCACAGAGACGGGTCCTGACGTCAGCAAGTACTGCCACGTCAGAACTGAGCCACGGGTCAGTTCTATCTGCACTCCCCTAGCCCCTCTCACCTCAACCTGTACCCACCGGCGGGAAAACTCCGGATCAGAGCCTGCCATAAACTGCGTAACAGGTACAGGGGAGCTGGCTGTAAGGAAGAGGAGATCCTCAACTTGTCTCTTGTAGCAGAACTGTGAATTCAGCCATCTACCCAAAGTGACACAATATAACAACAAAGTCAGAAGTCCATTAATTAAAATATGATCAGTCATGTATATTTCGATCACGTGACAAAATTGAAAACTGATATCTTATGCAGGATATTACATTCTAACATCACCGACAGTCATGAGTACTGTTTTTAATTAGTTCTACAGTCTCGTGTGCAAAAATTTATTAAAACTTAATCAAAGCTACTCACTTTAAAAGTTTTCGCGACATGTTTCGACGTGTTAAAAGTTGTGGGTGAGGAAACTGCTGTCTTTCTGCATTGATGTTTAGTTGCTGATATGTGTACCATGATAAGTACCTACGACGCGGACTGCGAAGTGAACAGCGCTACGTATGACTCAGAAACGAAATTCACAATTGGCCACAGTTGCATTTTTGCATTACGTACAGGTCGTTTTTTTAGTTATGACCTGTGAGTAACGCGCGAGAAATGAGAAGCGTGCCAACAAATGAGGGGCAGTGGTTGCAGCTGTAATGAGGCTGGGATAACCGGTGACGTAATGTAACTAAGGTCCTCCTATAACGCATGCGCACCCTACAATCCTTATCTTAGTCAGTGGACTTGACCAAATCCACTGCGCATTCTGTTGAGAGCGGCCAGGTCTAAATGGACGGACTGTATGTACCACGGCATTTAACTCCGCCGTGTAATTACGTTCGGAGAAGCAGCAGAGGAGCACGAGAGACGAGCCCAACGGTTCGAGCTGCCAGTGTCCTCGACAGATGGGCTAAATGCGTGTCGCTCTCTGATCCAGTTACTGGATTATTACGTAAAGAGCAGAATGCAACATTCCTGAGGATCGAGATGCATCAGTCACTGGAACTTCCAGTCCATGAAAAGCCAAGTGACATTCTAGACTCAGGAAACTGTGCGGCTGCTGGGCAGTCAGCAGAACTGAAGGCGTCCCTTACATAATATAAACTGGAACTTCGGGTCTGATTCAAACAGCATTCACACTAACATAATAATGAAATGAGGGAATATTATCAGATACATGTTTTAGGAATAAGTGATAAATAGTATCTATCTGTCTGTCTGTCTGTCTATCTATCTATCTATCTATCTGTCTATCTATCTATCTATCTATCTATCTATCTATCTATGGCTGTACAGCCCTTCGTTGGAACTTGGCCGCTATTTTAGTTTTTAATCTTTTACACATAGTCGGCAGGACTCCTTGGCCGGGGATCAGCCTGTCGCAAGGTCGCTACCTACACACAGAATAACACAAACGCAGAATAAACGTACATAGACATACATGCCTCAAGTCGGATTCGAACACATGATCCCACGGTTTTAGCGTGCGAAGACAATTCATGACTTAGATCGCACGGCCGCTGTGATGAACGGTATGACTGACATAAAGTTAAGAGTAATACTTTCTGGAATGTGACGCCGTGCATTCCGGTAGCAATTCTCCGACCTTTCGGCCAATAATTCTGCCACCATCTTCAGAATCCTAGATTAAGCTAAGCAAAAAACGAAATGAGCCCCGCTAAGGAACAGGCCCACAAATGAGCGCAAGGAGAGCAAACAGGAGAAAGAGGGATAACTAGAATTTGCCATGAAGCAGGCAGTATTTCTAAAAGCGAGAAGTTGCAAAAAGGGATTAGTTGCTTCTCGTCGCTTCTTTGGCTTAGTATTGAACACTGAAGAGAAACTTCTACCGTGCTACACGACGTCACATCGCAGAAAATACCGCTCTTCATGCTCAATGTCGTGAGGAACCAAAATTCCACAAGTTTGGACTTCATCTTAGAGGACTAAAGGAATATTTTATGGCAGATATTTCAATATCAAGGGATGTGCTATCAAAAGATAATAGTTATCACATGGAAATGCGAGGCAACTGTTTTTTATCAACTTAATGTGGCTTGCCCATATTCCCGTGATCGTACGGCAACTTCTCCGACAGCTGGGTTCTGCGTGCAACAGACTCGTCAGTCTGCAGGCGATAACATCTGGCATGATATAAAATCATTATTCAACTTCAATCTCTAGAAATTTTACTACACTTTTCAAGTACCACTACTATATGCGTTATGTGATATGTTATTTGTGTGTTGTGTCTTATTGTATTATCACTGCCACCGTGCAAAAAAAAACATTTAATGTTAAAATAATAGTAATTAAATAACTTCCAACGCGTTAGTGTTGTTGGTCCTAAGTCGATAACATTTAGGCCTTATTTATTTTACATATGTCATTAATGCCATTCATAATTCAGAGGAATGGATATGGGATAGAAAGTGTACACATCTGGACACTTCCCGACCACTTGAGTGATCCAATGACGACTTCACATTTTCTTGGAAAGGCTCGCATTACAGGATAACAAGACTTTAAATGAAGTATTAAACATATCTACAAGTCGGGCCCATAATGCGGGTCGTTTAAGGCTGTTTCTAACTCGGAAAATATTTCTGTAACTGAAGGACTGAGAGCAACAGCGATCTAACTCCTCCACACGTATTTGTTGTGGGATATTCATGATTTTGTCAGCATCGGCCGCTGCGGAGCGACGCACTGAGCGAGTAACGAACCGGAAAATGAGTGGAAGGAAGCGTCCTTAGCCCAATCGAGGTACTATCAATTTTATTCGATTTGGAGGGCATGAGGAAAACAATGAGAACCCTTAGGATGACAGGTGTTCTTGCCGGGATTCGAAACGAATATCTCCAGAAAATGAATCTGGAGCACTGCGGCCATGATAGCATCTTTCAGTTGTTGCCTGCTGTAATGGATTGGTCACTGTTCCCGAGTGCAAAGTTTAAGGCATGTTTCTAGCTAGCGGCCCGGCGCTGAACCCTAGCGTCGGTCCCTAGGTCCCTATCTGGCTGTTGCTTTATTCGAAAACTTTTATATTGTCACGTGTATGGAGTGAGTCCCGAAGGGAATTTGCACTGGATATTGGATTTACTGACCACTTAACACACAACTTGTAATTACGCCTAATTATAGCGTCATCGTTTATCTCCATACTTCACAAATCATTTGAGCACACAGACTAGTGTTCTCAGTCTGTTACAGTCTTCACTAGTCGTTTCCTGGTAACGGCTTCTAACAGTCAAAATTCTTCAACTTCCAGGCTGAAGTTCTCTCTGAATGGTTCCCTTCCAACTAACTAAGTCAGAGTCTCAGAGTTACTTTGCCGCCAATCAAATCGTGTCGGCGCCAAGCTCGTTGAGACTCACGACCATAATCTTTTTTGCAACTGAACCTTTCCGAATTCTAGTCCTTATGCAGCACTCTCTCTGAGGAGAAGATGGATCCATCGTTTATATTGCTGCTGGTCCTCGCCAGCGCAGTCACCAATTCCCGGGGGATTCATGATCATATTTTACTGTCTCAGATTCGAGATTCCCCAGCCTGGAGGACCAAATCCCATTATTTATATCTTCCAGGAAGAGGGTGGACCAGTTATACCCCCAGACATCAAGAACTGACTCAGGTCTTCACCTCGTCCCTCTTATAACTCCTCGCCACGGACTGCGTAGGAAACAGTGTTCCAACAGTACCTTCATTGCTGTGCCTCTGGAGACGTACTTATTTGCGATTGTTACCTAGAAGTAAGTCTACCCGCCACAATATACTTGTCTTGCAGAGCCTGAGAGAGAGAGAGAGAACGAAGAAAGTGGGAGAGGTAATGAGAAACACTACATTGGGGGAGGCAAATATTATATCTCCGGTTTCGAAGGTTCCCAGGCAGTGCCCGTTTGACCTTCTAGTAGGGGTAACGCAAATGATCGGAATTATTTTTATGACTATGGAAGGGCTGCGTTACAGCGAAATTTGATCTAATATTGGGTGGGCTACATGTGAAGCTGACAGTGCAACGTGGAATTAGGGCAATAACTCAACATTTGCTCTAGGACCGAGGAAAACCACAAAAAACCTTACTCGAGCTTTCCGGTCGCAGGATCTTCCGGATGCAAAATGACTTCTAGCCAGCAGCCCGACACTA